GATTTCAAATATATATGGTGGAAGCCGAGAAAGACCAGCAGTTTCACCTTCTGTTGCAACGAGACGCTTCAGCTCATCAAGACAAAACCAATAAGGCGGCTGAAATTGGTATTAAAGATCAGCCTCTATGATAATGGCGATGCTAATTGTATTTTCAGAAAGATGAACACCGCCGCACGTCTGCCATACTGATTGCTAATGGTGTGACACTTGAAAAATAGGGTGAATGGGATCCACAAGCTAGGAAATTTGCACGAGGCTACTTTCATGACGGAAAAAACTTCGAAACCTGGGTCAGATTATGATCGAAATATTCTGCGTGGATTGATTCCTTCTGGTTTTCGTTCCTAATGGTAAGGCTGCTCTCCTCGAACGTAGAAAATCACCTCAAGGCGCAACTGTTCGCGCTACAAGGGTCAGTACCAAGACACTCAAGGATACCAAATTTACTAAAAAACTTATCCCAAGTGACGATTTGTTCCTTTGACTACGAGCACCGCATCCACGAAAAAATGCCTTGTGAACTACGAGCGTTGCTGCCAAACTGGCTTAGGGTGGAGTCAAAGGGGCTCTTGCTTGGTCAAATTCGTGAGCCGGTCGGACTACTTCAGACATTAACTTTGGTCAAATCTATCCTTTGCAAAGAATTTTGATCAGAACAAGGCAACGTCAGAACAATTCACCTTGAGCAGTAGGCTGGGACAAGTAGGATCGAGACATTCTCAAAACTTTAACCCACTTCCACTCTAAGGCAGCGTTCAGACTTCGCGACGGCAGCGCTTCGGTCGCGCGTTCGACGCGATCGATGCGCATGCTTTCGACTGCATCGATCGCGTCGAACGCGCGACCGAAGCGCTGCCGTCGCGAAGTCTGAACGCTGCCTAAGCAACCCTATTAACTAAGAGAGATATATATAATAAAATGTAAAGAATATAGCGCAGTAGACTAAGATGCCCTTTTTGAGGTAGCATAAGGCTGAGTTCTGGACTAGAGTTTTTGGCGCTTGATATCTCCTTTTGAGAGAATTGCCTTGCAAATCTAAAAACATCATCCAATAATAGAAAAAAAGATGAGTAATTAAACGGAAAATACAAGGAAACAGAGTGATTAGTTAGGAACAGACAACTAACCACTATTTCACACTGCTGTTTCCTTCTGAGATCGACTGCTAACCAAAGTGGAACTTTCACAGGCACTCCAGCTTCGAGTGGACCGACATCCCCGCAAACCAAGTGCAGAACCGGCTCGTTCCTTCGGGGTATAATCTGGAAAGGAATAGATGTATGCCAGACAGAGTAACGGAAAGCTGCAACATAGTTTATCAGAATTTGAGGCACAACTGGAAGCTTCGCCTTGCTTTCACGCAGAAATTAAACAGCATTATTCGTAGATTTAGTGTTCCTTACGTTACAGCGCGTCAAGGGGGACTGGGTTCAGCGTGGCGCCAGCTTAACCTTCACCGATTGTTGTCGCTTGCCCTCTCTAGAAACTGGTGGAGAACAGGTTGGTCCACTGCCAAACCCGGCCCTCCTGACTCGCGCGAGCATCCGCAACATAAGTCTGCACTTTGCTGCTTTTGTTTCACCATGATGGCTGTTCTAATGAGAGCGTGTTTCCTTTCGCAGTAATATCATATCACTCATCAGGTTTTCACTTATTGTCAGTCCACTACACTGTTCCAATGAAGATGAGGGAACAACATCAACACCGTGGCGAATGTGGGGAAACTTGGTAGCGACCAAATGTTTCGCTCCCTCCCCCTCACCCTCCGTTCATTGGAATAGTGTAGTAGACTAGCACTAAGTGAAGAACCTTGACCTATGGTTTGCTTACAAACTAACACTATCTGGCCATTAATATAGCCTCGTTTCACACCGGACGAGTTCTCGCGCAAAGCGCCTAGTATGAAGATCTGGTGCCGATTGTAACCGGGCGACCATACTTTTTACATACAATTTACATGGGTCCTTTTAATTGGAAACGGCCCGTATAAATACAAAAAAAATTGAAGTGACATAAGAACCATTATCTGGCGGTCTCGCGAGAAATCAAACGTATATCTAAGTCATAAATAATTTAGCATAATGAAACAAACTGATACTATCCACTTACTTGGATCATTTCATCTTCAGCCAGAAACTCACAATGTTCCGGATCCATCGTCTTAATCGCCAAAGAACAGAATGCAAATTTGAATAGTCTAAAGTTGCCGCCAATGCTTTCCTAGAAGTCCGTGAAGTGACGACAAGTTAACTGCAGCCACGCGATATTGCACACCAGTCCATTGGTGTAATGGGTTCCCGTTGCACGTAGGGAAGATACGAATTGATCGGTGAGATCT